ATTATCCATGAACTAAAAAAAAAAAAAAACTATCTTAAAAACAAGATGCTTGACTTTTTTTCAGGAGAATTTTCAAATTTAATTTTTAACATGGGTAATACAATACATGTTCCAGAAATAAGAAAAAAGTGCTAAAAAGTAAAAAAAAGTACACACTAAAGCATCTCTCTCACACCCCATTCTCCCATCTATTCAGTTCCCACACCCAGAGGGAAGCCTGTTTGTTTTATGTGCATTTTCGGGGTGTTGTTGAATATGTATGGAAATACAAACGAACATAAATAATATTCTTACTTTCTCCCTTTTAATGCAAGAGGCAGTCTAGTATTAATATATACACAGCTTTGCGTGTTATTTGTTCTAACAGTCTATCTTGCAGACCTTTCCATACTAGTACAAAGGGAGCTAATATTTTGGGTAACTGCATTCTATTCTCTTGCTGCATGTTATGGAATTTATCCAATCATTTTCCTATTGATGGCAATTGGGTTATTGCCAATCTTCCCCATGGTTTAAATTCTTTTGGCCGGGCACGGTGGCCCACGCCTGTAATCCTAGCACTCTGGGAGGCCGAGGCGGGAGGATTGCTCGAGGTCAGGAGTTTGAGACCAGCCTGAGCAAGATCGAGACACTACCTCTACTAAAAATAGAAAGAAATTAGCCAGACAACTAAAAATTATATAGAAAAAATTAGCCGGCATGGTGGCGCATGCCTGTAGTCCCAGCTACTCGGGAGGCTGAGGCAGGAAGATCGCTTGAGCCCAGGAGTTTGAGGTTGCTGTGAGCTAGGCTGACGCCACGGCACTCTAGCCAGGGTAACAGAGCAAGATTCTGTCTCAAAAATTAAAATAAAATAAAATGAATTCTTTTTTAACGCATGTTTAGGACACAGCTGTAGAAATTATTTGGGGAAAAAAACAGAGACGGAAATTATTCTAACCTGGGTGATACAGAAGGGATGAACCAAAGAACAAAGGCGAAGGCAGGAGGCTCTTTAGAGATTTTTGTCCATTCCCAAGCTCTCCTTGCCAGGAGAGAAGATGAGGACGGAAGAGAAGGAGTTGGACAGTCCCTGAGTAGGGGCAGGTTTGTCGGGGAGATGAGGGCTGCAGGGGTGCTCCTGGTGGACTGGCAGACTGGGAGGGGACATGAAGCCACTTCATCGAAAGTGTTGGCTTGCTCTACAGTGTCACCGTCTTAGCTGGATGAGGTCTCGCTACGGAAGAGCTCTGGTCCCAGCCGTGGGGACTTCCAGGGAGGGTGGCGCTCCTCTCCTCCCATCCGCTCCTGGTCCCCCCCCCCGCCTTCTCCCTGGCGTCCTGCCTGGACAGATGGCTCCGTTGAGAACAACAGATAATATTTCTCCAAACATCTTCAACCCCTGACTTGTACTTAACATTTTTCAGCTGACAACTCTCCCCACGATCATCTTCGGTAGTTTACAAAGGGCAGCATGTTATCTATTCTCTATGCTGTATTACATATCATCAACACGTACAATACGTACTGGGAGTTTAGGCACTGTTCAAATGTTTTTGTTTTTTGTGGGTTTTTTTGAGACAGAGTCTCACTTTGTTGCCAGGCTAGAGAGTGCCGTGCGTCAGCCTAGCTCACAGCAACCTCAACTCCTGGGCTCAAGCGATCCTCCTGCCTCAGCCTCCCGAGTAGCTGGACTACAGGCATGCACCACCATGCCCGGCTAATATTTTTCTATATATATTTTTAGTAGTTCGTCTAATTTCTTTCTGTTTTTTAGTAGAGACGGGGTCTCGCTCTTGCTCAGGCTGGTTTCCAACTCCGGACCTACAGCAAGACTGTATAGGAACAGCTTTCATCTTTTCTTTTCCCATTGCCTCAGCCTCCCGAGTAGCTGGGACTACAGGCGTGCACCACCACCATGCCCAGCTAATTTTTTCTATATATATTAGTTGGCCAATTAATTTTCTTGTTCTATTTATAGTAGACACAGGGTCTCCCTCTTGCTCAGGCTGGTTTTGAACTCCTGATCTTGAGCGATCCTCCCACCTCGGGTCTCCCAGAGTGCTAGGATTACACTCGTGAGCCACCGCGCCCGGCCCAGCAGCATCCCTTTTAATAAAAGGATTTGTTCTGTAAAATTTGGATTCAGCCAAAAGGCCTCACTTAAGGACCCAGAAGGCCACTGAGGGAGCTTAAGGCCGCAGGCTCCCCATCCCTGCGAGGAAGTAGGCAGAGCAGGACTGGAGCCTGCGAGCCAGCAGGTGGCCGGCCGTGCGCCCGCCCCTGGTACCGCAGCGACTCCCCGGTGGTCACCACTCACTCTGGCGGCGGACAGCCTAGCGCAGGGCCACCGGAGGGAAACTTGGGAAATCTGAGTCGGAGTTACCGGAGGACAGACACCAGCAGGGAAGGTGACAAGTGAGCGGGGCGCACGGGGGTGGGGGTAGGGGTGGGGGAACGCCGAGTGGTGGGTGTCCTTGAAAAAGCGCGCCCCGGATGGCTTTGTGCGCCCCCCCCCCGCAGTGCGGACTCCAGACCAGACGGACACTGGGGTTCCCCAGAGTCAGGAGCGGGGAGGAGGCTGAGGAGGAGGCGGAGGAGGGGGAGGTCCCGGGGTCCCAGCTGAGCGCGGCCGGGGGACAGGCGGCGACGCCGGGGCCGCGACGGCCGCCCGGGCTCCTTCCCGGGCAGGGGTGGGGATGCTGAGTCACGGGGCTGTCACCGCTCCGCACCTCTCCGCAGCCCTCCGGGGGCTAAAGCAAAAGCGAAAGCGGATGCGCCTGGCGGGCGGCCGGCCCGCGAGCCGCGCTGGCCACCTCCCCCGGGCCTCGGTGTCGCACGCGCGCTCGGCCCGGGGCGTGCGGCGATGACCCGGCTGCGGCCCCCCCGCGGCCGCCCGGCCCGCGCGCTCCCCGCGCTGCTGCTGTTGCTGCTGCTGCGGACGCCGGCGACGCGGGGTAGGGAGCGGCGTGCGCCCGGCGGGGCGGCGGGGGCGCCGGGGCGTCGCGGGTGACCGCACGGAGCGCCGCACCTCCGCGCGGGGCTGGGAGTCCGTGCCCGCGGGGACGCGGTGCGCGCCCGCCCGGGCCGGGGAGGGGGCTGGCGACACGTGCCGGGGGACACACGCGGGCAGCGCCGCAGCCTGCGCCCGGCTCGGCCACGGGAGGGAACGGGGCGGCCCGCGCGGGCTTCCCAGCCAGGGCAGGACTGCAGTTCCGACGAGCCCGGCTTGGCCCCCGCCGCGCGGCTTGGAGGTGCGCCTGGAGGTGCGCGCGCGCGGGCGCTTCTCCGAGCCCACCGGGACCGCTGCGCGCGTGTCGCACGGCGCGCGGACGGGGAGGGGTCCCGGGGAAGGCGACCCCTCTCGACCCTCAGGCCAAAGTTAATTATGTAAGTGGGTAGCTGCAAGGATGGGGTAGGGACTGTGTCCCTGGAGAGGAAAAACCTCTTAGGGCAAGTTGCGCACCTGGGGCGTGGAAACAACTCCCAATCCTCAAGCAAGCAGGAGGCTGACAGAAGGCACGGGTGGGTGGGGCAGCCTGGAGTCTACACTCGCAGGAAAACGGGCGGGAAATCTGGTGATTGCTTGGTGCTAGATCTGATCTCAACAGGAAGACTTGCTAGGGCTTTGTCCCTGGAGCCAGAGGAAGGGGAGAAAGGGTAGGTGGGTCTGGCTGTATCCTTGTTGGTGCTTCTTAATCTTTTTACAGTCAAGGAGCTCTTTGAGGGTCTGATGACAGCTATGAACCCTCTCCCCAGAAAAATTCATGAATTCACATACTTACAAAATGCGCACGTGATTTTGGGCACTCCGCAGGGCTCTCTGTGAGAGAGAGAGTTAGATTGGCACGATCTCTGTGCATTTTTAGGCAAGACGCCCAATAATTTACATCCAGCAGGGCCAGTCTGCCCAGGACGTGGCTAGAGCCATTTCCATCCACAGTTGCTGCTGCCTGGCTGGGTCTGAACTTTCTAGATCTGCAGGGTTTCATGAAGTTTCGTTTTCACTGAGGCTGTGATGCTTGGATTTTCCCCACATCTGAGAAGCTGGGTTATGTGGGTGACCTGGTCATTTCCTCCCATCTGGCTAGCCAGTGACAGGCATGACCCCGGAGGAGACGCCAGCTCCACTGCAGAACAGGAAAGTGAAATGCAGTTGTAGTCAGAGCCCAGCAAAGACGAGGTGTCTGCCTTACAGCGGAGGGAGAGCCAGAGGGGAGATCTCTGGAGTTCATCAGCTACACCTGGCCCTGCTCATCCACCTTATAGAGGTGCAGCTCCTTAGGCCGGGCGCGGTGGCTCACGTCTGTAATCCTAGCACTCTGGGAGGCCAAGGCGGGAGGATTGCTCAAGGTCAGGAGTTCGAAACCAGCCTGAGCAAGAGAGAGACACCCCCCCACCCCCCACCCCCGTCTCTACTAAAAATAGGAATTAATTGGCCAACTAACAATATATATATAAAATTAGCCAGGCATGGTGGTGCATGCCTGTAGTCCCAGGGAGGCTGAGGCAGGAGGATCACTTGAGCCCAGGAGTCTGAGGTTCCTGTGAGCTAGGCTGACGCCATGGCACTCTAGTCTGGGCAACAGAGTGAGACTCTGTCTCAGAAAAAAAGAAAAAGAGGCTCAGCTCCCAATGTTTGTTTTCGGTTTTGTTTTTCTAACAGCCTTATTGAAGTGTGACTGACACACAATAAGCTGCATGTACTTGAATTGTGCAAGGTGCTAAGTTTAGAGGTAAATGCATTCACCCGTGAAACCAACACTGCACTCCAGAGAGCAAACACACCTATCACCGCCAGAAGCTTCCTGCATCCTCCCTGCCTCCCACCCCACCCATCTCCCAGACAACCATTTATCTGTTTTCTGTCACTGTTGATTTGTGGCACTTTCTAGAATTTTATATAAATGGAATCATACAGTGTATCCTCTTTCTTGTGTGGCTTCTCTCACTCGTAGTGATTATTCTGAGAACGTGTCCAGCTTGTAACTTGTACTGAGTATTCCTTTCCATCCCTTCGTAGTATTCTGCCCCATGGCAAGCCCACCGTGTGTTTATCCATTCACTGGTTAATGGACATCTGCGTTGCTCCCAGGTTTGGGCTAGTACGTAGAAAGCTGCTATGAACCTTCCCATGCAGGTTTTGGTGTGGACACATGCTTTCACTTCTCTTGGGGCACCAATGATTAGGAGTGGAGTGGCTGGGTCCTGTGGCAGGTATATGTTAAACTTTTTAGGAAACTGCCAAACCATGTTCCAAAGTGGTTGTACTATTTGACATTCCCACCAGTAGCCTAGGAAAGTTCCAGCTTCTCCACGCCCTTGTCAGCACTTGCTGCGATGAGTCCTTTTACATTTTACCCATTCTGTTAGGTATGCAGTGGTCTCTCATTTTTTTAATTTGTGTCTTCCTGGCCGGGCGCGGTGGTTCACGCCTGTAATCCTAGCTCTCTGGGAGGCCAGGGCGGGAGGATTGCTCAAGGTCAGGAGTTCAAAAACAGCTTGAGCAAGAGCAAGACCCCGTGTCTACTAAAAAAAATAGAAATAAATTAATTGGCCAACTAAAAAATATATAGAAAAAAGTAGCCGGGCATGGTGGCGCATGCCTGTAGTCCCAGCTACTCGGGAGGCTGAGGCAGGAGGATGGCTTGAGCCCAGGAGTCTGAGGTTGCTGTGAGCTAGGCTGACGCCACGGCACTCTAACCCAGGCAACAGAGTGAGACTCTGTCTCAAAAATAAATAAATAAATTAAAAAATAAATAAATAAATAAATTTGTGTCTTCACAATAACCACTGATGTTGAGCATCTTTTCCTGTGCTTATTTGCCATGTAGGTATCTTCTCCGCTGAATTCTCTGTCCAAATCTTTTCGCCCCTTTGAAAATTGAGTTGTGTCATTACTGAGATTTGAGAGTTCTTTATGTATTCTGGATATAATGCCTTTATCAGGTGTATGATTTGCAAATAGTTCCTCGGAGTCTGCGGCTTGTCTTTTTGTTCTCTTAACAGTGTCTTATGAAGAGCAGAAGTTTTAAATTTTGATGAAGTCCAATTTATTTGCTTGTTTTCCCATATATTATGCTTTTGGGTGTTGTATCTGAGAAATCTCTAGCCTAAAGTTACAGTGGTATTCTACTATGCGTTCCTCTAGAAGTTTTAAAGCTTTAGGGTTGACGTTTATGGCTGTGATCCATTTTGAGTTAATTTGTGTATAATGTGAAGTATGGATGGAAGGTTGTTTCTGTTTGTTTTTTGCATATGGATATCCAATTATTCCAGCACCATTTATTGAGAAGATTATCCTCACTGATTTTCTCTGATACCTTTTGAACATCAGCTGTCCATGATGTGTGGACTTGTTGGAGTACACAACAGGCTTTCTTGCAGAAATTGGCCAACTGATTCCAAAATTCACATGTAAAAGCAAAAGACCTCCTATAAGCAAAACAACTTTTAAAAAGAAAGGAGGCCGGGCGCGGTGGCTCACGCCTGTAATCCTAGCTCTCTGGGAGGCCGAGGCGGGCGGATTGCTCGAGGTCAGGAATTCGAAACCAGCCTGATCAAGAGCGAGACCCCGTCTCTACTAAAAATAGAAAGAAATTAATTGGCTAATTTATATATATAGAAACTTAGCCGGGCGTGGTGGTGCATGCCTGTAGTCCCAGCTACTCGGGAGGCTGAGGCAGCAGGATTGCTTGAGCCAGGAGTTTGAGGTTGCTGTGGGCTAGGCTGACGCCACGGCACTCACTCTAGTCTGGGCAGCAAAGCGAGACTCTGTCTCAAAAAATAAAAAATAAATAAATAAATAAATAAATAAATAAAAAGAAAGGAGTTGGAGGAACAAGACTCCCTGATTGTGAGACTTAATTACAAAGTTATAGTAATCAAGACCGTGTGGCGTTCGTATGAAAATGGGCAGAGAAATCACAGAGCAGAGGACTCCTGGTGTTTTTCAGAGAGCTTGGAAAGGAAGTGGCCCCAAATTATTAAGTTTGCCACTTGGTAGAAAGATTCTGGAAGGAAAAATATAGAGAACAACTCATCTCTCATCAGGAATTGAGTAAACAATGTCGTCTCCGATTTGTTCGTGCTAATTCAGTAGGCGTGCAGTGCTAGTAGGCACGGGAAGTTGTTGTGAGTCTGTTCTTAAAGGCCTAAATTGGAGGGAAATTCACATGTTCAGCACTCTGGAGGCTTTACCCAAACTTTTTTTTTTTTTTTTTTATTTCAAATCAATTTTATCTAGTTATTACTGCTTTTGTGCTGCTACTGATAGCAAAAAAAAAAAAGTGATAAAAACTTAAATGTACAAAATATATTGATTAGGTTGATTTATTGAAATCAACCTAAATGTTCAATACTTGAGGATTGCATAAATAAAATGGAATTGCTTTCACATAGTATGCATCATTTTTCACTTGAAGATCCAGAATCGAATAGGAAGATATTATGTGTCAGGCAGATGTGTGCATTTATCTGCCTTTTCTTATTTTTCTGCCATAATTTGAATTATTTTTGAATAAGGAAAGCAAATAAATAAAGCTACAAAAGAGATATCACAATAGTGATCTAGAATTTTGGAGTTTTTTCTAATGTATCTTTAATTAATTATAGGTGATCTTGTTTGGCAGGGTTTTCCTGACATTATACATTTTGCAGCACAACTGTATTAACTCCCCTTAGAGGCAGACAAAACAATAAAGAAAAAAAATAAAAGAATTAAAAATTTCAATGTTCTAATTTATAAATAAATAAATTTTGCAAGTCGCTGAAAATGCTGTTTTATAAAGTCACTACGTGTAACATTTTGTGCGGACTTTACCAACACTTTATAATCCTTTACAACTTTTTTTAAAAACAATTCTTTATTGTTGGAGCTGTGGTGAGGGTTTACTTGCCTCCTGACTGTTGGACTTTTAGTTTGTTTTAGAATGTTTGATGTCCTGAACAGCGCAAA